CATACAAGGCCACATTACCCAGCTGTTGGGCTCTCCATGGGCCCAGAAATCTGGCAGCAGGGGAGCAGTTGGAGTCTGTATTCTAATGTACCTTGATCTAATGCCCAAGAGTGCAAGAAATACATCCTCATGTGTATAAGTTGTGCAGTCTGTTACGATTCTCTGTGCAGTATTAAATACAACATGGCACTTTTAATTGTGACAGCTTCTGGACCATTCAGGAGCACAATAGTCTGCTAGGGCATATACCACTGCAAGTGCAGTGGTTATGAGAACTTTGAAGTTGGCACCCCATGCCATGCTGCCTAAACATCTTCAGGCAGCTACCCATGCAGAGATTTTACTACTGACCTTCTGAACGTGATGACTATAAATGAGGGAACAATCTAATGTGACTCCTTGGTAGGTTGGGGTATGTTCATGGGGAAGGATGTTGCTGCCTACTCTGATATTCAGCATGCTCTTGGCTCAATGATTGTCCAGGTGGAAGAGTAATAATACTGATTTATGGATGCTCCCCACTGACCTCATGCTTTGCAAACACCCTGCTCTGCCAACTCCCATACCACTGGCCTGGAATGGAGCTGAGGCATCAGGGTCATTACTCCTTGCTGTTGTTGGGAGCGTATCAGTTTCTGTTAAATTGAATAAGACCATAAATCTGGTAAATTGACAACCAAGTGCCCTATTCCTCAGGGTTGCATAACTTTCCTGAGGAGGCCAGTACATTGATGCAGAATCGCATAGTGCAAATCAGCACCTAGATGCTGAAATGCACTAAAAACTTCTTTCAAGCTCCACAGCCAAGTCATAACTTCTGGTTTACACTGGCATGCCTCCGGGCACCATTGACACAGTTCCATTTGACAAAGCATCTATGTTTGAGCACTGCTGCAAGTAAGGCACAGCAGGAATGGGAAAAATCTCCCCTAGCAAACCGCACCCATACTTCTTCCCTCCTCCTCCTCTTGGAGAACTGGAGAAGGCTTATCCCTCCAGCCCTGGATGCTTGGGCTCCCAGTCCTCCCAGCTCCCACAGCTGGAAAATAAAACCCAGGTCTCTGGATTTTCCCAAGTGGGAGGCAGAATGCAGGCATTCTACAGCATGGTCAGTGGGGAGCATCTGCATGGATTGTGAGCAGCTGCATGGCTTCTGACCCTGGGCAGGGGAAAAGGTCCAGATAGAGGACTCACCATAGGTCCCTCGGTTGCCTGCGGACTCCACATTTGTACACAGGAGGCCCACTCATGGAGGCCAAGATGCTGGATCCTGGATAGTTGGCCAGACACTTGCAGAGCACATGAGACATGTGTGTACATGGTTTGGGTGAAATAAGGACCAAATGGGACCCTTGATGTTGGGGGTTGGAATGGATAGGTCATTGACTGCTTGCACCCGTGCTTCCACAGCACTTGAACGAGCCATCCAGGCCCAGGAACATGCTGCAAAGGTCCAAGGATGAGGTCTCCAGGTGGCTACCTGCCATCTGAGAGAAGCCATCCACACCGCTGAGGAGCTGAGAGGGTTGGAGTGCCAGGATAAGGCGTTTATGCACAGGGTCAAAGACTGGTTGGGATCAAGCTACAACACCCCTGACATCAGTGCCACTTCCCACAGAGAGACTGTAGCCCTCTTGGTCCAGAGTGTTGGGAAAGGCTGACACCCAGCCTCCCACAGTGTGGTCAGTCCCATTCCAGGGACTCTTCCCTGGGGTGACATAACCAGGTGTCCCACAGGAGGCCAGCCATGGAGGGCAGCTGAGGGGGAATGCTCTATACCATGCAGTGAGTGGGAAATGCTGGGTACTAAGGGGGCCCAAGAACAGGAGATGTGGTGCATGAGAGCCTCTGACCCATGGCCCAAGGAACCAGTGAGACATTGGGTGGGGCCCATTCCAGGGAGCAGTGGTGTGGGAGGGGAGACAGACCAGGCACCCTGAGACCTGATACAAAGGCCAGCAGTGACTCAGCTCAGGTTCCAGGACCAACTTACTACCCCTGGTTGGTGGCATCCACTGGCATAGGCACAGGACCCCAAAGAGGTTCCAGGCCAGTCCAAGAAGGGTGCAGGAGTGCTCAGGATGGGACAGAACATGGCTCACTAGGCTGCCAGGCCTGGCCACTCTGGACCTGGGTCCCACTGCATGGGAGCATTGCAAACCCCTGGGGAGGTATAGGAAGCCTCCTGGACTCAGATCCAAGTTCTGGAACAGGCTACATTCCACAGCTTGTCTTTATTATACATGCAAAAAATCTGGCAGCTGTAATATTTAATTAAAGCAAGGGGCAGCAGTTTTATACATGGCATTCCCCCTACTGCCCCAGGGTTTCATGTCTAAGTTGAGATCTGTGGCTGCCCTCCCCTCTTCCCCCTCAACCTCATAACCACTCAGTGCATTCAGGGTTTTTCTCCACTCTCTCAATGTTAATTGCAAAGAAGGTTCCAAGTTCCAGAGCAGGCAGCATTCCACAGTTTTTCTTTAATAAACACACTAAACGTTTGGCAGTTTCAACATATTGATTAAAATGAGGCAAGTTTCTTCCTAAGGCCACATTCTCCTGCACCTTGGTATGTGCCCCTGGGGAAGGTTGGGGAGGGGGAGGAGAGGGGTCAGGGTGCCTGGCCAGCATTCTGGACAGTGCTGCCCATGATGTAGGGCCAGAAGAGCCTGGGGCTGGAGACCCATGGCCCAGTGCCAGAGCAGGGGCAGCCCTCATCCAGAGAGGGCTCCTGGTTCACATGGTGTGGGTGAGGAGCTACTCAGCCAGAGCTTTGCAGATCTGGACAGCCTGCCACTGGGGCCACAAACATCATCAGGACAGGAATACAGGCATCCAGGACCCATACACACACACATCCACACACACACAAAACCCAGGTGTCTGGGACACACACACACAGAGAATCCAGGCATCCAAGATGCACTCTCACACGTGTTTGGGACACACACACATGCAATACAGGCACCTAGGGCACACCCAAGCCCACGTCCCCCACACAGAACCCAGGCATTTGGGACCACCCCTCACATACATACACACACACTGAACCCAGGCACCTGGGACCCACACACACATATACACAACCCAGGTGTCTGGGATACATGCACACACACCCTCCCCCCCCCAGGCATCCAGGACACACACATACACATGGAATACAGGAATCTGGGACACACGCACCTGCTCCCCCACACACGCAGAACCCAGGCATCTGACACACACACATTCACGCACCTGGTGAGCGCAGGGTGCACTGGGTGGCCATGCATGGGATGGCCAGCTGGCTGGTCATGGACATGAAGGCACATGTCATGGAGAGCCACTGCCATGTCAGGTCCAGGTGGGCAGCTGTGATTCACAAATGGCAATCAGCAGGACCTGCCACAGCTCTTGGGCCTTCCTGCTTGCTTGGGCGTGCAGGGCAGGAAATGAAGGCACATGCAAGTCATGGTGGCAGGGCGTTAAGGGCATGGTAGCCCATGCCCAGAGGTCAATCAGGGGTGTCTCTGTTTGGCTCTGTTTGGGAGTCTTCAGCAGCCCGAGGAGCTCATGGGGCACAGCGGGAAGCATGCGAGAGCCCTCCTTACCTGCTGGGGTCGACCTATGCAGGCAGGCTCCAAGCCCTGCCCCACCAACAGGATAACATCTGTTCTATTCCATCCTGACCAAACCTTGGGCATTTAGAGTAAACCTTGAAAGTTAGAGTGCTTCTGCCTTGGGCTTCTTGAATGCCTGTCCTTAGCCTTAGAGACTAATCCAGGGTTGGGCAATTATTTGGACCTGCAGGCCACATAAGGAGTTCTGCTGAGCAGACATGGGCTGGGTCAGCACCACTGCCGTCCCACATACAACAACTCATCAAAGCTCCTTATGTGGGATGTGGCCATGGGTGAGTGGGCAGGGAATCCTGTTTAGAAGTGGGATGGGTGGATGAGGCCAGGGTCATGGGATGGTGACAGTGTGGAGCCAGGGCCCAGGGCAGAGCCCCAATCCCCTGTCCACCCCTGTGACAGGTACTGGTTCTGTAGCCAGGGGCATTCAGGGAGTGGATCATTGCTCTGCCCTGTCCCCGTGCTGTAAGTTCCCTAAGATCCTGGACCCAACCCAGATGCAGCTCTCTATGGAGATCCTGGGATCACAGGATGGTGACAGTGCAGGGCCAGGGCCAGGGCCAGGGCCAGGGCCAGGGCAGAGCCATGATCCACACGCTGCATGCCCCTGCCTGCAGAACCTGCACCCATCACAGGGGTGTGCGAGCAGCGGACTATGGCTCGGCCCTGGCCCCAGCCCTGGCCCCGCAGCATCACCACCCCAAGATTGCAGGGTCTCTCTGACCCTGCCCAACTGTCTCACTTCCGATGCCACTCCCCACCAGCCAACCGAGTGTCCAGCCTGTATCGGTTTCATCCTCAGCGGTGTATGTGGGGCAGATGGGTCAGAGTGCCCAGGCAGCAGGGCTGGGTCTGGCAGCAGCAGCCAGAATGAGCCGCCACCACCAGGGCTTCTGGGAAGTGGAGTCCAGCATCTATTTGCCCCCAGCCCTGCTGCATGCCTGGGAGTGGCAGGACTAGGGCACATGCCATGGCTCAGGCTGACCCTTATGCCTGGGCTGGGCAGAACCAAGAAACACCCCTTCCCCCCCTCCCCCACCATGGGTCAAACAAAATTCCTCAATGGGCCAAATCCAGCCCCAGACCATATTTTGCTCACCCCTGGACTAATCCATTCAGAAAGGCATGAGCTTTTGTACATGGCAGCCTGCCTTGTTGGCTGCTATCTTTGGGAGATACTTGCAAACAACTGGAAACAACAATTGTCTGTGCAAAAAATATGCCCCATTCCCCATTGGCTAAAGAATATTGATAGTTACAATATTTGTATAGTTCAAAAAATAGCATGTTACTGAGGAGCATTATAGCTCACTGCTTTAAAACTATGAAGCCAGTATACTTAGGAATGAAAGTATATTTGTGTTAAGAGAAATAAATCATTCTTACCCATGCATCTCCGACCAGGTTGAAGATCTACCACACTGTTTCTTTGTAATCTGTACTGTCACAGAGAAATAAATGGTTAACTCCATTTCTGGCTCAGAAGTCTTTTACCCTACTAGTTCAAAAACCACAATACTTACTATAGTAAAGCTATTTTGATGATATAGGCTGTCACCTTATTAGCTTGAAAAGTCACAAAAGACAGAACTATGTGAAAGAAAGGCTTTTATGATCACAATGAAATAAGGTATTCTCTACCTTTTCTAATCTTGTTATCCTAAAAATTGTAATTTAAGACTGAGACAATATTATTTGTTTTGCTTGTTTAAAATGTTTATTCATTTTATTGAGCTGTATTGATCTTCAAATTCCTATTTATCTTATATTTACTTTATTTTGCTCCAAGATCTATGGTTTAAATGCTATTAACCCTTTTGTGCAGAGCTCTCAAATATAAATATCTATTTATTATAATATAATTAAACAAGAAAACATCAAAAAAGAACTAGAGTAACCAAAAAAGTCAATAGTATAATGTATTAACATCACACTATTACATATTATTATCATGTTTTGAACACATCTGAAATTATACAGTGGCGTGTAAAATTACTTCAAATAATTCACTGTGTAACTTGACCCTGAGACTTTTCAGAAAATCACCTTGATATCATGGCTAACAAAGAAAACAGAGATACTGACACTGATAAACATGAATTAATTACTGCTGGGTGCATAATAACTACTCTGGTTGCCTGTACATAATTCAATACTTTCATTTGAAAAATGCTTTGGGATATTTTTAGGAACCTATTTAAAGCTATTTTTATTCTCTCTTGTGCTAAGGAGCAAGTATAATAGTATTATGCACTGTTTCAACCTATTGCTTGGGATGATGTGATATTATCTTCAAGAGGAGACTGGATAGGCACCTGGCTGGGGTCTTATGACCCCTGCTACCCCCAGTGCTCCTTCCTGCCCATGGCAGGGGGTCAGACTAAATGATCTGTCTAAGTCCCTTCCGACTCATTGATTCTATGATTCTATGACTATACAACAATCACATACCAAAGCAAATGAGCATTTTCAAAACATTCACCACAAGTAAAACTCAGGGGTCCTTTTTGTGCAGTGCATATGCACAACAATATCAGCTTTACATAAATGATGAGCTCAGCCTCTTGACATCTTACTCCTTTCAGCTGAGCTAGAATCACAGAGAAATAAAAGGACTATGCTCTTGCTAGGTTAATTTTTTTTAAGGAGTGACCCTAAAGTATCCTGCCAAAATGCAGAGCATAACTGGTTTTCACATTCCATAAAAACCCTTCCCTCTAATCTAAATATTATAGTTTTGATAACCTCAGGTTATCATTATCCCTGCCAACCCTGTGCCTTGGAATTAAAACCAAACAGCCACTAAAAATGCAAACAGATTCAGATTTAAGATATCAACACTTCCATTTTTTAGTACCTTCTCAGTGTTCAACAAAGTTTCCAAACACCTGTGCATAATTCTTTTTCTACATTAGCTCAGTGCTAATTATATAAGGAAGACTAAGCATAAGATAAACTGAGGAAATCCATTTAACAAAATTTTCTAAATCCTGATATATTTCCTGACTGTTTTAAACACATTTTGGAGAAATGTTGCTTTATCTCCCAAGGAAAATTTACTCACATTTCAACAAAACACATTTTAAAAATGAATAGGGCTGATTTCTTCTTGCAGCATGATAGAACAGTTACATTTATTATTCCATGAACTACAAATAGGTGATATTTCTAGATCGTACAATTGAACCTAATTCTGTTATCCCCACAAGTCTACAAATGCAAAGGGAGCCAAATATGAGAATAACAGTGATGGAACCAATCTAACCAAAATGGGCCTGATAGCAGAAAGGACATGCCTTTGAAAAAGATGGGCCATCTAAAATCGGAAAGAAAGGGCCCTGAAAACTTCTCAGGGTATGAGTGGTGATCAGGGAGAGAAAAAGTTTAAGCCAAAGTTAAAATTGCATTATTAAGCATCCACGGGTGGGTCTTTGCATCAAATGCAGGTTTCACCACAAGGGTAACAGAACTGATTTCCTCTCTTTCATGAAAGTTCATGAATACTCAGCTAGACCTCTGGGAGAGTGACAGTGCAGTCAGTAGCTACCTGTGTGCTTGAGTCTTATCTGTTCATTTATTAGGAAATCAAGTCTTTGCTATACTAGTCATTACAGAACTAAACCACCTGAAATTGGATTCTACTCTGCTTTGTGCATGATCAACAAATCTCTCAGTTAAGTTCTTTCTGACTGTTACATTTTCTTTCTTGTGATGCTACATGAAAGAGGCAATGAGAATTCAACGTTTTTCAAGGTAGAGGTTGCAAGTGCTAGCAGCTAGAAAAATCTTCTTTAGACTTATAAATGGGAAAATACTGATATAGAAATAATGGTGAAAGATTAAATGCCTACTAAGTCATTTGAGAGTCATTTTTACCCAGTTTAACTAAATTCAAATTCCATTCATTTTTTTTAAAAATCTATATACTGGACTATAAGAATTTGCCAGTTTCTAAATACCTTATCACAGGTCTCATTAATCATTTCAAAATGAATCATTACTCATAATAATGGTAATTCTGGGTGGTGAATAATAGTACTCAGAAAATTAAAGCAAAGTTAAAGCATCAGTAAAAGCTACTGGTGTGTGCTTTACAAAATGTGGAAATGGTGAGGCCAGCCTGTTAATTCCTATAGCCTTACACTCTTTTTCACTTTGGGAAAATGGAGTAAACGGAAGAGCTAAGTAGTAATCAATACATAGGGGTAAAGTTGATAAAAGATACATAAACATATATAACAGATCTAATTAGCATGTCCCTTGAAAATTTCCATATAAGTATATGAGGGTTTCTTTTTGAATGTCTTGACAAAGCTATGAGTTTTTTTTCATATTTCCAGAAATGACATTTGCAGTATCAGCAATGGTGAACAACCTAACCAAAGCACCAAAGACCTACAGGCTAGGTTCAGAAGTTACACATAAACCGGTTTAAGTAATAAGAAACTGGTTTAAATCTGTAACAGAACATAAATTCAGTACACATAAACCAGTTTAAACATGGCCAAAACTGGTTTAATGTAAACCTGGTTGAATGTAGTATTAGACTTAACTGATTTGGGTCAAACAGGCTTATGGAACTTGTGTCCCAGACCCCTTCCTAGTTTAAGTTAAACTAGAGTCCCCCAACATCCCAGCATGCTCTGCAGCCCTGGACTAGGCTGGGCTGTCTGCTCCAGACAGCAGGGCTGGCCCCACTCCTCTGCTTTCTAGCTGAAGCAGGGGCAAAGGCATGGCTTGACGTGGGCCTGGCATGGCCCCCTGAACCAAAGGAAGCAGGGAAGGGTTTTATTCTCCCCCTTCCACCAAGGAACCATAGCTAGGGGCTGCCTGGCTGATGTGTAGCAGCCTCTGTCAAGCATTCCCCCCTTACTGCTCAAGAGGCAGTGGTGGGGAGGGGGGCAGGAGGAAGGCAAGCATGGCCCCACCATCAGCTTGCCTCACCCATGGCTAGGGCTGTGGAGCTGAGCCAGGCCAGCTTGTGGGCTCTGCTGAGGGCAGACACAGAGGGACCAGCTCAGGCTGGGCCATGGGCACCAGGTCCTTCCCAATGGGCTGCAGCTCAGGTTGGGGCCATGGGAGCTGTGCAGCCTGATTGCTCACTATGCCCAGGCTAGGCAGGGCTATCATGGAGCTGCCTCTGGCAGGAAAGGTCCCAGCAGGGCTGGCCCAGGCTAGGATTCAGGGGCAGGGCCCTTCCCAGCCGGCTGCAGTTCTGTGACAGCTGAGCCTGGAGGCATGGGTGGGGCTGGCTGGGCACCAGGCTGGAAGTGCTGGTGGGCCCAGAGCCTGGCAGCCACCACCACACCCCATGTCCTGTGCAGCACCAGTGGCTGCAGCTGCACCACAAGCTGCACACTGGCCAGGGCCGGTGGGGCTGTTCTGCTTCCCTCACCTCCAGCTGCCACTGCCACCCCTGCCACACCACTCTGGGTGGGTGGGCAGGAAGCTTTTGCCTGGCAGTTTCTGCCCAGTGCATGGAGCTCTGGCTCCAGCTCCCAGATGCTTTCCATCTGCTCTGCCTGCCCAGTGTGATGAGCAGCCCCTACGGGTGGGCAGAGAGGGTGGAAAGTATCTGCTAGCTGGAGCCAGAGCTCCACGCACTGGGCAGAAATCACCAGGCTCAAGCTTCCACCAACCAGGAGTGGCACTGCACAGCATGGCAGGAGCTACAGCTAGAGGTGAGGGGAGCAGCACAGCCCTGCCAGGTCCAACCAATGCACGGCATCTTCCTGCCTCTGGTGGTTCCTCCTCCTCCTGCCCCTGCTGCACCACTCTGGGTGGCAGGTTGAATGGCTGTCATAGAGGACATTCCAGTTTTCTACTACTCTGTCCTCTGTCCTTTATTGATACGAAACCCAACGCCTTTACGTCCTCTATTTTTCTCTTTCAAGAGAAAAGAGAAATTCTCTTGAAAGAGAAAAATAGAGGACGTAAAGGCATTGGGTTTTGTATCAATAGAGGACAGAGGACAACCAGACTGTCCTCTATGATGGCCACCCTAGTGGAAGGGGGTAGGTCAGGAGAGGGAAAAGCTTCAGCTCAGTGCTTCCAGCTCTCGGCTGCCTTCCAAGCACTCTGCCCACCCACAAGGGCTGCTCATCATGCTGGGTGGGTGGAGCAGTTGGAAGCCAGCTGGACCTGGAGCCAGATCTACAGGCACTAGGTAGAAGTCACTGGGCTGAAGCTTCCCCCGCTCCCACTCCCACCCAGAGTGGTGCAGCAGTGGCAGGACTGGGAAGAGGAGGATCTGCAGGGGGAAGCAACAACACTGGCTGGGCCCAGCAGAGCTGTTCTGTTCCCCCCACATCCAGGTGCAGCTCCTGCTCCTGCCACACTGCACAGCATTGCTCCTGCCACTCCCTTCACCTGAGGCACTGCCTGGACGAGTGTCTGGCCTCAGGGACAAGCCTCCAAAGGGCTGTTTCCACCCTCCCCCTCCAGGCACACACTGGCTGGGTCTCTACAGGCTAGGGTGGAGGTTTAAACCCCTCCCCAATCATAATTAGCAGTCTCCCAGAGGCCTGGCCATGCCCCCCAGGTCAGCTTCCCTCCAGCCTTGTGGCTGCTGAGGAAGAGAAGGGAGGGATCCATCTAGCACCCCCTGGCTTCTAGCCTGAGCCACTGCAG